ATTGAGCACTATTCATTGTGCTTCTCAACCGCTCTTGTCCGAACAGTTAGGTGTTCAACAATTGGCCGGAAGGAGGTAGGTACGGAACTCTCAGAGTTTTGTGAGGTGCATACAACAGGTAGTTCTCAATCGGTTGTACAGTGCTTCTTGACTTTTAAGCATAGATTGGATTCATAGACAAGACGATATCTCAATTGTTCGAAACAAGTGGAAATTGATCAATCGAACCATAGGTCCAGGCTGGCTGGCGAAAGCTCATTCGAGTCAATGGGGAACGATGGTCTAATCATGAATCCGTTTGCTGATGAAGATCATGAGGAAACCGGAAGGATATCGTGCATATGGTCACATATAACTTTGCACTTTTAGAATTGAAAACTGACTATTTTCCCACAAACGTTCAAACCACTACCCACTGCTCACATAATACGATGAAATAATGGAAGTGTGTGCGTGTGCTACAATGACTGCATACAATAGAAATCGCACACTGATCATTAGACGACGTGTTCCCAGGCACATTTCTTCGGTTGGAGTAGACCAGACCAAAAAACGACCTTGAGCGCCAAAACCAGACACGCAAATATGCAAATGCTTGAATTCAACTTGTCATTTTCTTTGTCCCAATAGACTACACGTGTTCGAAAAATGAACCATTGGCTTGCGGTTGTTTCTCATATCTATCTATCTATCTATCTATCTATCTATCTATCTATCTATCTATCTATCTATCTATCTATCTATCTATCTATCTATCTATCTATCTATCTATCTATCTATCTATCTATCTATCTATCTATCTATCTATCTATCTATCTATCTATCTATCTATCTATCTATCTATCTATCTATCTATCTATCTATCTATCTATCTATCTATCTATCTATCTATCTATCTATCTATCTATCTATCTATCTATCTATCTATCTATCTATCTATCTATCTATCTATCTATCTATCTATCTATCTATCTATCTATCTATCTATCTATCTATCTATCTATCTATCTATCTATCTATCTATCTATCTATCTATCTATCTATCTATCTATCTATCTATCTATCTATCTATCTATCTATCTATCTATCTATCTATCTATCTATCTATCTATCTATCTATCTATCTATCTATCTATCTATCTATCTATCTATCTATCTATCTATCTATCTATCTATCTATCTATCTATCTATCTATCTATCTATCTATCTATCTATCTATCTATCTATCTATCTATCTATCTATCTATCTATCTATCTATCTATCTATCTATCTATCTATCTATCTATCTATCTATCTATCTATCTATCTATCTATCTATCTATCTATCTATCTATCTATCTATCTATCTATCTATCTATCTATCTATCTATCTATCTATCTATCTATCTATCTATCTATCTATCTATCTATCTATCTATTTTGGTCACAAACCCTCTCCTGTGCGAACAGCAGAGCGGGTTTGCATTCGTGAAGCCCTCGTCAGGTTGTTTGATCTAACAACCAAACCAAGTCCAACGATAAGCAAGTCTGCCGCTCAACTCCTTCCCGACTGCCGAGCACGGTCATTCAGACCAACTGGTGAACAGTGCTCCAAATACCTTCGCCATCAGTCCTAACAATGGAATCATGAGGCATGAATGTCGCACACTTTCCGGTCATTGATCGATGAGTTATTGTGCAAGACCGGATGGAAGACCAATGTATCAAACGTATGGGTGGTTGCAAATTGACGCTTGCCGAAACGACCAAAACAGTGTCAACTCGCTCTCCATCACCGATGTTTTGAACATATTTTTGAAGCCCTCTCTACTTGGTTTTGCAACAGGTGCGGGTTAGGCTTGTGCTGAAGACTGGCCAGCTCAAGTTGGCCGGACATCCGGCCGTTTCGCCCTCCTGCCTTGGGGAAAAGTCCCTGTCAATCCGTTTGTTCTGGCTTCAGGGACTCTGTGGCCTGCATCCTCAGGTCATAAGCTGTTCACGCCCTTTGTTACTTGACAGGCCTGTCAAAATCGCTTTGTTGCAGCCTGCACGCAGCGTGTCCCCACAAGTCAGTTGTTGACGCAGTGACGATGGTAAGCCCAGTCTAGAAAGGTTCAAGTGTGGTGATGTTTTAGTGTTTTCCATCACGTGACCACAGGTCTTAGTCGGCCCATCTTAGGTCGCAAACACAGGGAAGTTTCAATCCCCTAAACTGTCGCATCTGAAAACGTCTCACTTTGGAAGATTATCAAGGTTATCCCTCTTTGTATGTTCGTGCACTGGGCTGCGGTTTCAGGTAAACTCTTGTCTTTTGCAGTATTAAGACCCGAGCATTGACAACGCGCGAAAAGGTTGCGTTCTGGGTCCACCCACCTGGAAGGCATATCTCACCAAGTTAACAAAATTCACTTAATTAGCGAAATACACTCATTTGCAAACTAATTTGGTTTTTCGAGAGACTCACCTGGAACCCAGCTGATGTTCTCAGGCAACCGAATGTGCTGCACCAGGCCGCCTCATGTTTCAGCTGCTACGATATTCGAGATATCGCGATACATGTATATCTTTGTAATGTACTACTCATAAGTTTGCTGAAAATCCGTCGACAGCCCACGACCGGTTTCACCTTTTTTGGAGCTCATCAGAGAGGCGTAGTCCCCTGAGAACATCACAAACGAGAGATTCAGTTGGGTTCCAGGTGAGTCTCTCGAAAAACCAAATTAGTTTGCAAATGAGTGTATATTCGCTGATTTCGTACAATTTGGTTTCAAGTAGAACATAAAGTTGACGGAAACCCGGGGACTGTGCCTACCTGATGAGCCCCGAAAAGGGTGAAACCGGTCGTGGGCTGTCGATGGATTTTCAGCAAACTTATGAGTAGTACATTACAAAAATTCACTTACCTTTAGCCCACATCTCTCAGAACATTTTTTATGTTATTCATTTGCTTATTTTATAGAATTAGTATGTATCTACGTCTGAGGCGATTATGTCAAGAACGTTAGTTTGAAGTCACTACACTGCGAACTGCTCCCTGTGTCTTGCAGATGGCTTACAGTTCAAAGAAGCGACCAAAGAAATAATCAGTTGAGTCTTGATTTGTGTGTAAGTCAGAAACCAAATGTTCTTCGTTCAGGTATTGTGAAAATCAGACCTGAGTTTGGTGATGTTTTGGTACTCATTTCGGAGTATTTCGCTCCCCATGCTTCAGGGACGGAAAATTCATCCAAAGTTATCACAGTTTTTTCCTTTGCACATTTGTGGAGGTTAGTAGTTTGACGTCATTAAAAAAGTGGGTAGCCTTATGACTGATTACTTTACCAGCTCGGGCACAAGACGAACACGTGTTATCGGTATGTGGTCTGTACAAATAAATTGACACCGATGTCAGCTGATCAGGTGAATACCTTTTTGTGGTTCACATGTATCCATCCACAGACACCTTGTGCTGCGTGCGTATATTCTCCACGTTAAGAACGCGGTACCGATTCTCATGACTGTCACAAAATTGAACATTTCGGTGAGCAGTGATGAACACCTTCGAGAACGACTGCGGGATTCACAACTGTCCTCCGGGTGAATGAGACGAAATTCAGTTTCTAGGGTGGTTATTCGAAATTGGAAGGACTTGAAAACGAACCGGTGTTTGCTGTATACGCCTCATCACACGATCTATGACGATCAGAAATTACTGCAACGAGTGACCAAGTCTGACACATTTAATCGGTCTTTTCCTGATCACATCGTTTCGTACTTTAGATTGCGTCCTTTCATTTTATGAACAGAAAATTCACGTACCTCACCTCATGTATTCTATAAAATATGCAAACTATCACAACCGCATTTGTAGTCAGCTGTGGTAGTCATTCAGAAGGGTTCTGTTTTTGAAATTATGTGACGTGCATGGTGACCTTGAGTCAAGGTCACCTCACCAAGGACCTCAGGATCAGCCGGAAGAATTAAAAACTGCAGGGATTTCACCTCACTCATCCATGCGCATGTTCCAGCCGGTCCAACATTTAACGTAGGTAATTTGTTGCCGAAGACTAGGACACTCTTGAATCCACCATGTTCGTTTTCGTTCTGATGTCATCTGTTGATTCAAACGCTCCCCATCGCATTCGACTTGAGTAGATTTTGACCCACCAGGTCTGATTCCGTCGACAGGTATAAAAATAACTAGATGGTGTAATTGACCTACTATTTACAATGGTTTTGTAAACAACAAATAGTCAGAGAAATGTATGTGCATGCCTTCGATGTTGTGAGATTAACTCCGACGTGGACTAGAGTAAATCCATCTCTGACGGCACGACCAGTAAGTAAATCCTGGTGAACCGTCTGGTCGAGGAACACATGCATGTAAACAATCAAATACAATAACGAACACGTTCGGGGCCAGAGAACCTCCAACGTTTTGTGCACACCTTCAACTCTGGTTTATTGGCCTTAAAGTTGTGCACTTTCGGAACCTGACTAAGTACAGTACAATCTGGGGTCACTCAGGTCTGTGTTCATGGTATCCAGTATGGGTTGGCTGGCCAAATACTGCAACTTCGAGTGAATCGTTTGTGCTCTGATCATGATCTATGTTCCACCTACAGGGGGGAGTTATCGAGCGAATTTGACCTATTTTACCGTCGAGTTAGATCACGGTTATGTTGTCTATCCTGGTGATCCAACACTCCCTCTATGCTAAAAGGTATTCGCCTCACTTCGCTGTCTACCTTACCACATGATGGTTGCTTATCCTCAGCCTTGTTATCTGTATACCTGGTAAGTTTTACAGCGTTAAGCAAGTGCACTTTTCCTCATAGCATCACCCTACTCAACATGAAATGTGATTTGTTCAGATACTGTGCCCGTATATGAATACTGACCAATAGGGTTTGACGTCCGATTGAAGTTCGCCAAACGGCTGGGTGAGCCAGCTTTTCTCACCGAAGTCAAACTGTGCTGGAAAAATTGTGCCGGCGAAGGAGGGGAGACAGTGAGTATGTGGAGTTCAGGGTTGAAGTGTTATACGTTGCATGCAATTGTTAGAACCAAATAACTTTGTGGCTAAAGTCACACCGCGTAATTAAGGTAGTGAAACCCTATGTCCGATGGGGACTAACTCTATCAGTTACACTCCGTTGAAGTTGGTGACCCAGTTTCCAGTAGGTCAGTCGACTGAAACGCAGGCGATTATCGTATCAATGCAAATCGTGTACCACGATCACTTATCTTCCAGATATTCAACAAAAGCTTCCTGCTTTGGACCATTTCTGTTTTCGGATGTCTTTGGGCTCATACTCCGCCCATTTGAGAAGAAGCGAGACGGGAGAGAGCTCTTCAGTCAGCGATGACTTGAGATGCGATGTCCACGCGATTGCCAACCAGCCATTAAAGTCACTGAAAGCTCTCCGACGACACACAGCCGTTTTCTTCCTTCTTTGGGCCCATCAGGTAGTCATAGTTACTAGAGCTTCTCTTCAACCGACATTATGTTTTGTTTGAACCCTAATTACACGAAATTCTTTAATAAAAACCAAATTAATGTGCAAACGAGTACGTTTGGCAAAATTCTGGCAGATTTGGGCTCAAGGTGAAAACATGGTTGACTGGAAGGAAACTCGAGGGCCGAGGGTACCTGGCGAAACGCAAGGAGATGGAGATCTCTCATGGACAATGTACTGCGCCATCTTAAATATCGTACCAACTGAAACATGAGACTGTCTTGTAAGACACATTCAGTTGAAACCAAACTAGTCTGAAGATGAGAGTAGTTGGGGAAATACACTATTTGCTTTCTCTAACACTCCGAAAAAAATGAATATATTACAACTTATGCTTCAGAGAGGCCAAACCAGTGTTGTCTTATTCGCGCAGTTGTCATCTCTTCCCCAAGGCTTTCGGCTAGTCAGGTTCTCAGACGTAGATAAAGAAACTTTTGATTGTCTTAACTGTACAGATGGCGGCAGTAAGATGCTTATTCCGTTTCCTGACCATGAATTACGGTGTAAGGACGAAGAGATGCGTTTAGATTTCTAGTCTTTGAAAACGAGTCTTCGCAAGTTCAGGTGGTCCACTCATGACAAAAACGAATTCCAGTAAGCAGTTTTAATCATACAGTTTGAAAGATGTTGGCAGAAACAAGGAGAAAGGTCGAAGCTACCTGTTGGGGGCCGAAATCTGCCATTCTTATAATGTGTGACGCAGTGAAGTAAATGGGTGAGGTTTCATTCCACCACGGTCGTCTGACGGGGAAACAGACAAAAATAAATGTACGTTTTTCTAAGTTAACGAGATGCGGTCTGTCAATAAAAAAAAACAACTAGAAAAGCGTACTTTTAACATAAATATCAGATCACGTGAAGGGGTCACAATTGTCATGGGTTGTGTGCAGCCAGGTGCGACTGACGTGGTTAGCGCCTTTCCACGTGACTACGCGTGTGGAGCGCGATGCTTTGGATTGTCGAAACACGTACGTGGAACACCAAAGTGACAATGGGGCTGGCCAGGTGCGCAAATGTTACGCGAAGAAGAAAGAACCGCCAGTGACTTCATTTGTCATTTGTTCACCTTGTAGTGCCTTAAAAGCAAAATATTCGTTTGTGAATAGGTACACTTGGGAATGAATACTCACCGCGGTGGCGGCGGCAATTTCATGTTTGTGAATTGATGTGGGCTTCCAACAGACATGTTTCCACGCTGCTTACAGCCCATCGACCAAATTGGTCGGCATTGCGTAAGCAACTCGGTTCAGTTGAGTTCTGGACCTTACGGATGGCGCTGAAGGTTGTAGATGGTTGCTTGATGTTGTGTGAACCCGCTGCAATCCAGGGTTGCGTACACAGCGACTTCAAGGACCAATACACATCACTGGTCGGTGGACATCAGTTCTGCTAGCCACAACTACCAACACCGAGGAGATAAGGATGCCGATCAGCTGATCGAAATGCCGCGCTGGCCACCCCACACGCGTAACGGAACAGAAGTTACGTCGATCTCGCGGGAACATAGCGACTGAGGAATCGCACTTCAAATGATCCGAGTTAATATCTAGTTCGATTTTCTCAACTGCGGGTTCGCCTGGAAGCTGAGAACATGAGATGTGAAGTCGCGATTTTCGTCATCGGTATGGCGAATCGATGACGGACGGGGTAATGGTTATCAAGATGTTTGCTACCACGATCACATGCGCCACCGAAGAGTCACGCACACATGAAGTGAGTTTCAATAGCCGAAGCGAATACATTCGTACCACGTCGCCACATTGAGCATTCGAAAGTTGGAAAAATCGTAGAGAAACTATCAAATACAAAGTCCGATTTTCAGAAGGTCAAATAAAGCGATCATAGTCACGTGGACTAGCTGCGAATGGATGCGAACTGTGACGTTATAGCTGAGTGGATTTTATGTATGTATTTGTGCTCTTGACGTAATGAATTTTGGTGGATGTTGGAAGGCCAAAACAGTACACCGACTTGAAGGAACACCACACATAAGGTTTCTGAAGGCTCTTTGCTGGCCGATGACCGATTTTGGCAATCTTCGATTGTTTCAGCTAGACACATTCCTTGAACACAGTCCGTCAAAATTCTAGGTAAACCCAAATTGTACGATATACGCGGCATACACTCATTTGTACACAAATTTAGATACCACGGAAGAATGAACC